TGTCCTACCGGTGATTGATGAATTGCTATGATTGGTTTAATTTGCTTGTGGTTATGTTGCTATCCTATTGTGCCCTCCGTGTCGTGCAAGCGTGAGGGATTCCCGTTGTAGGGTGTTGCAATACGTTCATGATTCGCTTATAGTGGGTTGCTTGAGTGACAGAAGCATAAACCTGAGTAAGAGGGTTGTGGCGTATGGGATAAAGGGGACTTGATGCTTTAATGATATGGCTGGGTTTTACCTTAATGATCTTTAGTAGTTGCGGATGCTTGCTAGAGTCCCAATCATAAGTGCATATGATCCAAGAAGAGAAAGTATGTTAGCTTATGCCTTTCCCACATAAAACTTGCTATCGGTCTAGTAAGGTAGTCAATTGCTTAGGGACAATTTCATAACTCCTACCACCACTTTTCCACACTCACTATATTTACTTTATTGCTTCTTTATCTAAACAGCCCCTACTTTTTATTTATGTGTTCTTTATTATCTTGCAAACATATCCAACAACACCTACAAAGTACTTCTAGCTTCATACTTGTTCTAGGTAAGCCGAACACTAAGCATGCGTAGAGTCGTTTCAGTGGCAGATAGGACTTGAGAGAATATTTGTTCTACCTTTAGCTCCTCGTTGGGTTCGACACTCGTAATTATCGAAAGAGGCTACAATTATCCCCTACACTTGTGGTTTATCATCCAGCGCCACATCGCGAGCTGCCTTTGCCTCGGCGGCCTCCTTCCTGCTCTCTGCGGTGGCAGCTTCGGCTCGGCCCCAGGTCGTCCTAGTGGACGCGTCGGCCTGGAGCCACCCCGAGATGATCCCTAGGCACTCCCTCAGGAGGCACCTATCGTTGTCTTGAAGGTCAGCCCGGATCCGGCCAAGTGCGGTGTAGGCCTCGTCCAGAGCCCCGGGCATGATCAAGGGGCCGCAGTTCGCAAGCGCGAGGGTCTGGCTGGGAGGCGGCGTTGGCACGTCGGCAGGCTCTGTCCCCGGGAAAGCACTAGCGAGGTCGACTTGGGCCGCCGGAGGCTCCAGGCTCCCCTCAGGCACGATGGGGGCTGACGACTTCATGACTTGCTGGTTCATGGGGGCTGGCTCCTCCTAAAGTTGTGTCGTTGCACCCTCGGGGGTGAATTCCGCTAGAAGGGGTGGGGAGTCACCCCCTCCATAGGCACTGGGGTTGCCACGTCTGCGGCAAGGAGTGCCGCCTCGTGAGCCTCCGAGTCCCTAGCGCCCGGTCTCCCAAGTAACGTCGGCAAGGCGCCAGGAGTAGGTGTTACACCCGTGCGCTTGGGCGCGGCGCCACCTGAACGACCAAGGGTTGTGCTTGGCTGGCGCGATGCGCTTCCGCGCCCGCCGCAACCACGACCAGACGTTGGTAGCACCCTCAGGACAGGGGGCTCCTTCGACTCAGTACCCGCCTTCTTCTTCTTCTCCATCACGTCGCCGCTCCTGGCCATCAATAGGAAAAGTGTTGTGAGCACATGTGCAATCTATACTCGACCAAAGGCAAGGTAGGTTACTTACTCCTCAGCCGCAATCCACTTCCTCTTCTTCTCCTTCTCGATGATGGTCAAGACGCCCCCGCTCTTCTTCGGCGGCCTTGGCCGCGCCCAAGGGACGATAGGGGTGCTCCCCGATGAGCCCCGGTGTGGCGCTGCCGCCCGAAGAGGTGAGGAGGTCACCCTAAAGGGTCATGGCTGGTGGGGCCGCGTCTGCCCCAGCAGGGACCGCCCCACATTTCGGCTGCGGCTCAGACAGGGACGAGACCAGTGTCTCAACCGCCCCGCTGGAGCATGGGGAGCCCTCCGGAGGGGGCGCGCCCGTGCGTTTCCTCGGGGTCACCTGGGTAGATGTCAGTGTGGTCTGGGGGGTAGGCCCTGACCTCCTGAGGACCCTGGCGGAGCATGGGGAGTTCGCGGCCGGGGGCTCGTTGGTGTCGTCGTCGTCTTCAAGGTTGCGGAGGAGCTCGCTCTGCGACGGAGGGGACACTTCCTCCAGGTCATCGTCCTCGGTCTCCTTCGAGTCCTCCTCGCCGATGCTGTCGCCGGAGGACACCGGCATGGGGGAGTTGGGGTGCTCGGACGGCATGAGCCCTAGCTCATCAAACGTGGGCATGGCGGTGACCAGTCCCCCTGTCGTCGCGGCGGTACAGCATGGCTTAGGCCTCGGGGAGGCCCCCCGGATCGCTATGGAGCAGGGTAGCCAAGGGCCTGTCCAGCTCCTCACCCGTCAGGCTGGCGGGCCGGAGCCTTATGTCGTCCTCCGTGCCCTCGTACTCCCACATGGGCTTCGAGTGCGACTAGAGCAGAGCCAGGCGCTGCGTCAGGTATTCCTTCACTATCATCGCCCTGGTCAGCTTCTTGGCCTCTATATCCGAGGCAATCCGCTCCAAGACGGGCTTCGCCCGAGGGTCGGTGAGCTTCGCTGAGCCCCATACAAGGGTCTTCTCGGGCAGCTCCGTTGGGAGCTCCAGGCACGGATCGAGGCCCTTGGTATCCAGGAAGACCCAGCGGTGCCTGAAGCCTTCCACCTTCTTCCCGGCCTTCAGGAGCACCTTCCCGCTCTGGACTGCGATGAAGGAGACGCACGCCGACAGCTGCGTGCTGTCATGGAACCGCAGGCTGAAGTAGTGGCGAAAGAGGGCCATTGAGGGCCTCATGCCTACGAAGGCCTCGCAATAGAAGGCGAAGATAGACAGGAGCGGGATGGAGTAGGGCTGAAGATGAAGGGCCTGGATCTCGTAGTGCTCGAGGACGGCGGTGAAGAACCCTGAGAAGGGCGGGACGATCCCAGAGAAGATATTATGGATGAAGAAGGGATAGACCGTCTTCGCTAAGGTGCCCGGCTCTGCTGAGCCGCGCCATATCAGGGTCTGCCCCCACTCCATGGAGTCGCCCGCCATCAACGGAAGCACTGGGGTGAGGCCCCCTCCTTGGCAATGGTGGATGCCATAAGCGCAGGCAAGGGGGAAGAGGAGGCCGAGGCATGGGCCTCAGACTTCGACTTCTCGATGGGCGCCATGTGAGGAACTCGTGAAGCTTGGAGAGCAAGAAGGGCAGCGCCTCGCTCAGATCTGGAGGAACTTCTCACGAAGGAGAGGGGATCTGAGCAGAAGGAGGGAGGCGCAAGGTAGAAGAGCAATGATGGAACCGCAGCGTGCGCCAGGCTTTTGTCAGCCCGGACAGTTGCCGAGGCAACATGGGGAAGCGGGGGCGCCAGCGTCCCGTCATGCCCCATGCGTCGAGCCTGTTCCGCAGGCGATTGGGGCCCGTGGCGCTTCACCCTTCACTCCTTGCCTTCACCCTGAAGCCAGGCGGGCATGCCTTGGGTCCGGGGGGCTACTATCGGCGTTCTGGGATCGGGGGTACCCAGACTTACCTGCCTGTGACCTAGCACGTCGCCCTCCTTGACGGCCCGGTATGGCCCAGCTGCAAGCCCCCCAAGACAACAATACCCTTGCGAGGGCTCCGGCACTATGAGGCGAACGACACCAAGACCTCCAGAGGAGCGGCCTCCGCAGGCTGCCTCCCGAGGAGCGGACTTTTCTATGCAGACCTCCCGCCTCATGAGGCTTAAGATGACGTGAGCCATGACGACCAAGGCCAGGTGGGCACCAGCGGGCGCAGGAGTGCTAGTTTCCTCTTTGGTGCTAAAGAGACAAGGACATGCGCGGGTTCCCAAGGGAGGCCCCAAAGATTTCCCTTCTGGTGCAACGAGACCATGATCACGAGCTCGGCAGGACGGATGTCATCGCCGAGCCCACCACTGCGTCATGGCCAGGACCTTTGCAGGCGAAGACTACCTTTCGTCAGGATAAGACGTACTTCCTGTCCCCGTTCAAAATTGGCCGTTGTGGGATCCGTTCCCGCCTGTGCGATAAGGGAAGAGGACCAGGGCCACTATCAATAGGGACTAGCCTCCACCATAGGGGGTGGACTCATCGCCACCCTGATCGATCCATCCTCATCAGCAGAGCCCTCGCGAGGCTGCTGACCGCTGTACTAGTTCATCCACCGCCTCCTCATGAAGCCAATCCACCAAAGCAGGAATAGGGTCTTACACCGCAAGGTGGCCTGAACCTGGGTAAATCTTTGTGTTCTTTCCTTCTCAACAATCGCGCAAGCACGGTGAGATCGAGCCTTGGGCATAGCGAGCAATGCGTCCCCGGTGAAGTGAGGTTCTTCGTACACGCCCCAGAGTTTGAACCTTACTGGGTTTGCGGATCCCCAATTTCGACAGATTTTGGTTCACTGGTAGCCGGCCCAGGTTTTGAATGTTTAGATTTTGCCGCTGTCGTTTGTTTCTTAAACAACGCGTTGCATTTATAGCTCAAAAGCTTGTCGGGCGGACCGGCTAGCACTGCACGTTATGATCCCCAAAGTCTGGGGTTTGATTCACAGGTCTAACCCTCCATTTTTTAGTGTTTTTTCCACCACGTGAAGTGCCACCACGTGGCACTCTAATATGGGCCGACCTAGATGAGCCGCGACCTGCGTGAGACCTCGACTCTATTTTTTGGCGTTTTTTCCATCACATGAAGTGCCACCACGTGCCACTCTAATATAGGCCGGCCTAGATGAGCCGCGACCAGCGCAAAACCTCGACTCTCTGAAGCAGAGAGCGTCACATAGTAGGTCCACTCTGAGCTATATGTGCCGTCCATTCTGGTTTTCCTGAAATAAGGATTCCCCAAGGTTTATATAGAGCTACTCTATTTGAATCGCGAGTAGAAAAAAATGTAGAGCTACTCTATTTTTTGGGACACGCCATGAAAAAGGAGAACTGGAGAATTCCCGATGACGCGCGAGTCCAAAGCCGAAAAATGTCATGGCAGAAGTCGCCACCGGCAATAAGTAGTCCGTAGACCAGAATTTCCATTAGACAAATATATATATCAGGTAACAGATTCGACTGGGAGACAGACCACTGCACCAGCATACAAGCGCCCGTCCCGTCCGATACCTCCGGCGGTGCCACTGCTACACGCATAGCTGGGGACATGGCTCGTGGCGTGGGTCATATACACGAAGACAATGCGTACAAAATATACGGAAGATACAGCTCCGATGCGGCACTTGATTATGTCTCGGACTTTATTCTTGTCGTAGTGCCATCATCATCCGAGAGCTATGACCCGATAACGATCACCATGGGGTCATGTGTATCTAGTAGTGTAGATAGTACTGGTTTCATGCTGGAAAGGCAGGCAGGATGCTAGCTGTGCTCGAGTCTTGTACCAGCCCAGCGATCACTGGCTCTTCAGGTACCTTGGCCTGGAAAAAGGAGAGAATAAACCGAGGGTTAGTCTACCTATGTTCCGGAGGCAACGAGGGAACTGAAAAACTGAAAAGACCATGGATTGATATAGGCATAGATTTAATGGCTGAAAATGAAATCCACGAACGAAATAGAAATGCTTGGCTCACATTGTAACAAGTCTGAATGTTCCCTGTAAAGGAATAGATGCCGACAGAAACAAAGAAGAGGGTCTTTCCAGTGAAGGACATTAATTTGGAAATAACATATAGAAGCGGATCTATTCTAGGCTAGGGGCAGGAGGAAGAAATCTAGGATTGGAATTTGTCATGTACGTCCATATGCAAAAGGAGAGAATCAACTGAGGGTTAGTGTAGCTTCATAGGCATGAATTTAATGGCTGAAAAAAGAAATCCACAAACGAAATAGAAATGCTTGGCTCACAGTATAACAAGTCTGAATGTTCCCTGTAAAGGAAGAGATGCTGACAGAAACAAAGAAGAGAGGGTCTTTTCCAGTGAAGGACATTAATTTGGAAATAACATATAGAAGCGGATCTATTCTAGTCTAGGGGGCAGGAGGAAGAAACCTAAGATTGGAATTTGTCCTGTACGTCCATATGCGAGAGAACAAAACATCAACTGTTGAGATGAGCGGCACTTTATGCGAAAGGACATCAAGCTTTAAGGGACTGAGCCCGCAAGCTTTACGCGCAAATCTTGAGCAAAAGCATGCTCTAGCTGCCTGCTTACTACACTTTTTTTGGTATTCCGGACAAATTAGTCTCCCGTCCCAACTGTGGTATCTCCTTTTTTTGCCAATTAAGGGCATGCTATGGTTAAAACATACAGTAGCTTATAAGCCTAATAAAGGCGCGCTACTTTTGAGGTTAGTTACCAGATGGACTGTAGGATATATTCTGATGCTGTCCTTTCTTCACCGTCTTTATAAGACCAACTGATAAAGCCCGAAAAATAAACCTGTGTCTATATAGTGATAAACCTGTGTTTATATAAGTGATAAACCTAACAGCAGTTCATTAGTACAGCCGCCACGTGGAACATCGCTGAGCAACACCATTTTGAATTATTTTTTCTTGGCGAAACAAATTGCGATCAGGTCAAGGCGAAGGAAGATTATCTTGGTCGTGTTTAAAGTACATGACTGAATCATTGTTGGATAAAACGCAAAAAAAATTGTTAAAACGTAATAAAAAAAACTAAGACCTAGTTATTTTGCATGTTGCTTTCAGAAACCAATTATTTCCTTTATGACTAGTTTGACTGAGTTGGAATTACAATTGATGCTCTGAGCAAGTTAATCTCATTAAAAGTTTACCAGATTGGTTAATATTTATCATAAAGGGCTCTAGAAATTAATACACCACAAGGTTTTAGTGAGGAGTTCATGCCTTGTGTAGGCGAAACAAGCTTAAGGATAATAATGAACAAGATCGTCAAAAGATGATAATATTTGTTCAGACAAAGCATGTGCTCTTTCCACAATGATATGTATGTGAAAAAGCAAAGCGCATGATTGGCTACGGTCAGTGAAATGAGTGACGGAACAAAAATATGTCATGGATTAGTCAAGTAAATAGATACCCAAGAATGGTAAAGAAGTAAATGCTACTACATTTGCAAGATGACATAAACTACAAACAAAATTCAGTAGGGAGAACTTACGTTTTTCCTAAAGGTCAAGAGATAACCAAATATAGCATTTGCAAGACATGTAGAGTAAGAAGGGAACAGAGAAGTCGATGCCCAAGGGAGCAGCAAGAGACCATGCATATTAGTAGAGCGAAATGCATGTATGGAAGGAATATAAAGCATCCAGTGCAGGTGACTGCACGGAGAAAGCTAACCAGGCCGGCCGAAAGGAACACCGCCCTTTCCCTTTGCACACACCACATGAGTAGTAGAGGGTGGCCAATTATGTGATGATGCATGTACATGGATGGAACAGTCCAGAACTAGGAGATTCAGACAGACTACTTACTACCTCTGCCCATCGCTGCTGCCACCGCCCTTGGTGTTGTTGCTGCTGCTGCCGGCACCGTTTGTATGAATCTCGTTCACGTCTTTTTCCAGCTCCGCGAAGTGCTTCTTCACATCCTCCACCGACTTGCCGTCGCCAACCTCCCGCGCCACGTTCTGGAAGTAGTCTGGCGCGTCCTTGTCGTACTTGTTTAGCGCCACCTCGAACACCTTATTCTGCTTGAATGTCCACGATGAACTCATGCTTGACTGGGCTGTGGCTTCTCAACAAGAAAGAAAACTAAGGTGGATTGAAATGACTACTGTTACTACTACTACTACTAGTAGTGCTACTATGGTTGCTAGATCACCGGGCTTGGCTTGTGTTTGTATGCAACAAGAGTGGTGGCAATGGTGCAGCTTATATAGTGGGAGGAGAGGCTAGTTGGAGAATAATGCTTGTGAATGGTGGGGGTGGATTGGAGGTGTTAGCAGCAGTGCCAGTGGGCAAATCAGTGACAAGCTTGCATAGGAGCCACAAGAAGAAAGAAAGAAAGAAGAAAGGAAATGAGAGATTTCATTTCATATTTTCATTGTACGAAATGAAATGCCTGGGAGAATCTGCATCGCCTCCTCGGGTCTGCCAGAGGAGGGGGAGGCCCCTTTCATCTCTTTTTGTCTCCCTGTCTTCACTGAGACTATTTGTAATTTAAGCAGGCTAATGACTACTATGATTAGTAATTACCATAGGCTAAATATACTTAAAGCACCTGCTGAACATGCAAAAATGGCAAGCTGATTCTCTTTGGACCGTTGAAGCTTTAAGGGGACATAAAATTATTCTTACCTCCGTTTCTAAATGTAAGACGGTTTGGCAGTTTAAATGAAACTGCCAAAATGTATTATATTTAGGAACAAAGGGTATATATATTATCATCATTACCTATCACTAGAAAAATATTTCGTAAGTAATATTTTTGAGTTACAGAACCACCTCTCTTAACCTCGACGCCATTGGCCACCCCGGTGCTTTCGACTTCTCTCTTGAGGAGCCTTTCACCACCGACGAGATCTGGGCCGCCATCAGGAAGCTCCCCTCCGACAAGTCGCCCGGCCCGGACGGGTTTACCGCGGAGTTCCTCCGCTCATGCTGGGATATCATCAAGGACGATCTTTGTGAGGTTTTCGCTAAGCTATACACTCTCAATGGTCAGGCATTCCAACGCCTAAATGAGGCCCTCATCACCCTCTTGCCAAAGAAGCCTGATGCGACCACGCTCTTCGACTACCGTCCGATTAGTCTAATTCACCTGGTGGCAAAGCTTTTTGCGGAAGTCCTCTCTCTTCGCCTAGCCCCAAGGCTTGGGGAGCTATATATTGTCTCCGCGAACCAAAGTGCCTTCATCGCTAGTAGAAGCGTCCATGACAACTTCCTGCTTGTTCAACAAACGGTGAGGCAGCTGCACCAACTCAAGCATCCACGGGCCCTCTTGAAGTTGGATATCGCTCGGGCATTTGATTCGGTTTCCTGGCCCTTCCTACTCCAGGTGTTGCAGCACTTGGGATTTAGCCCAAGGTGGCGCGAGTGGGTGTCCATCCTCATCTCCACGACCTCCACGCGCATCTTGATTAACGGCACTCCGGGTCCTCCCATTGCCCATAGCAAGGGACTCCGTCAGGGCGATCCTGTCTCGCCAATGCTCTTCATCCTGGTCATCGATGCCCTCAACTCACTCCTCCAGCATGCCGTTGCGTCCGGCGTCATCAGGCGGCTTACACACCGTCACGTCGCCTCCAGTGTGTCTTTGTTCGCGGACGACGTGGTGGTCTTTTGCCACCCCGACACCCATGAGCTGTTCTCAATTAGCAAGCTCCTGGAGTTATTTGGAGAGGTTTCCGGCCTACGCACGAACTTCACCAAGTGCTTGGCCGTGCCCATCCAGTGCC